AAGAAGAACAATGTATAATACATCTCTAGCTCTATCTACACACAGAATAACCTGATAAGGAAGACACAAGATATGCAAAAGAAAATAGTCGTTATGATATAAGGTAATATAGTGCCGTAGAAGTGGTACAAGCTGAATGTTTTGAGCAAAGTGACTGTTTACCTCCAATTGAACAAGGGTGAGAGCTTCCTGGAAGAAGTGGCATTTAAGTTGGCTTGAAGGATCAATCTTCTTGCAGCTTATCTGGCATAGTTTGTCTAAGAATCTCAACAAGCTGCCTCAGATACCAATATTCCCCTAAGTAGCGCCTGAGACTACAGTAGGTGCGGCTTCTTGCTCTTTAGCAAGAAACACTGGGTGTAGGCTTCTGGGATGGAGTGCCATGTTTCTGTGTTTGTTGGCATGGTTGGGTTTCTGCCTGGCTTTCTGAGAGTAGGCATTGTGGGCACCATTACTCCAAGATCATCAGTCGTTGCCACAGGTGTGAAGATTCCTGTGTGTTAACCAATTGGTTTCAGTATCTGGTGGGCAGGAAAGTCTTTTGAACTTTGCCTTGATCAGTGTCTTTTGCTGAGATGTGCCAAGGTTAGATCGGGCCCAATATCATGGAAAGGGAATCAGGAGGCTTGGTTCTTACCTCTCTTCCACTAATAAGGCCACTGTGACCTTGTGAGTCACTTCCCTCTGTATGTCAGTTCCTTCTTTGTAAAATGAGGTTAGTCTGAAAAGAATAAAGACCTTTCCTGTCCTAATACCCTGGCGTTCTTGATATAAGCATGGACATGCCTTAGCATGCTCTCAGGGGTGGTCACACTGGGCCAGCCCCTGAGGGGTCCCGTGCTGCAGGCCAGGAGTATTGTGGACACTGATACGGAAGTGAGGGTCTTTCTGACCCAACCTGAGCTGGATCCTCCCCCCAGCAGACTCCATCTCTTCTACTCTGCATGGCTCCTGGATTCCTGTGGTGCTTGATTTCATTAAGCTTCTTCTCTTCAATGTGACGATTTAGAGTAAGTCTCACTCACTTTTCAGGAAGGAAAATGAGTGTGAGATGCTCTGGTCTTCAGCGCACTGAGAGAGCCCACAGTAAATGTTGAGTGAATGTGAGAACAGCTGACCTTGACTTGCTCTAGAGTGGGCATGCTCAGTGGGAGGGAGCATTGATGTGGAGGAGGCAGAAGTAGGGGCTCTTAATCTAGAAAGCACACACATATGCATACAGTACAGTGTATCAGTGGCATTAAAATTCCATGGTAATGATGGAACAGAAGGTCTAAAAAGGCTGCCTTCGGAGGACCAGAGAACAGAAAAAGTTGAAAAACATTACTTGAGGACCACATGAGTTTTGCTCAGTTTGTCACAAAAATCTCTTTCTTCTCCTCAAAGTGAGGACATAATTCTTGTACAACTGAAATGTGTGAGGCCCATGCTCCTTCCCAGTGTGTCCTTCAGAAAGCAAGCCCTCAGTGAATCTTCGCCCAGGTGCCATTGCTCATCACCATAGCACCTTTTTGAGGCAGACTTTGTGGCTGTCCACTGGGCACCGTGCCATCTTTGGAGAGAGGCACCAAGGGTAAGACAGACTCAGTGTCCTCTCCCAGCTCCTCAACTTGCTCTATGCTTTTGGGCAAGTTTCTTAACTTTTTGGACCTCATTTCATTATCTGCAAAACAGAGGTACTGGTCCCTACCTCATGCTGTGCATATCAATGTAAGAGTATATATGTACATACATGTGCACATGGCACGCAGATGTGCAGTGTAAATTCTCTTTGTTCTTATGTGAAGATTTCTTCCTATCTTCCCCTCCTCTGTGTGTGTGTGTGTGTGTGTGCGTGTGTGTGTGGTAAATGCCTGAGTTATTTCCATCAGTTCTGGTGAGTCCCAGGCACATCTGAGATTAATGTCAGCAAGATCTCGAGTGTTATTGCCAACTCCTAAACTCCTTATGCTGTCACACAGGCCACATGAAGGGACTTTTCTCAGTGCTAGGTGATGCTAATTACCATCTGATCTGAAGCCAGAGTTGCTTTTCTTTGTTTAATAATTTATATCTTCTCTGAGAACACTGAGCTAAAGTTTAAAATTACAGAAAGGGATGATTGATCTAAATGGCAACAAAGCTAACCTGCAAGAAAATCACCCAAACTACCTTTGTGGGCTGCCACTCACCTGAACCCACAAATGCCAGGTGGCATGAGAGAGACAGTGGGAGAACTGCATTCCTCAGATGTTAGGTTCCTGTCAGCTTTGGCTCTGTGGGGGTCCCCAGCTCATGCTGGCTGAGATGCATGGCAGGGCTCATGGAAAGGAGTACATTGTAGTACCATGCCCCAGCATATGGCACTGTGCTCCGCTTTTCGTTTATTCTTTCATCAAGCATTTACTGAATAGCTACTATGTGCCAGCTGCTCTGCTGGGCAGTATGCATAGTGACAGGCAGGAGATTGCTACAATCATGCTGCTACAATGATTGCTACAATCATACTTGATGAGCATTGTCTCTTTCCTTCCTCTCCCCATCCAGCCTCCTCAACTAGCAACAGGGCAATGACTCCTTCAGCACTTTTCCTTCTTTGTAGCATTTGGAAAGGTAGGAGTTGGGAGGATGAGAGAATAAGAATGGGAGAATGGGAATTACCATTTAAACTAGTTACCATTACATATACTATTTCATATAATTGGTATACCTAGGAAGAAAAGAGGTTTGTGACATATAAACAGATCTAGAATTTTCAGGAGTGTCCTTCCTGACCAGATTGAATGTGCATTTCACTCTACATTCTCATGCACATTCTACACACACATTCCAGCATGAAGGGCTGTTGCTGTCTGACTGAGCCTTGACCTTGTGGGAGAATCTGCAACCCAAGCTGACCTTGACCACTCCAGGGCTTTCTCCATCTTAGTAAGGCCCTGAGAGCTGTTTCTGAGTGGTACCGGTCAGGGCACAGTAGAAATAAGCAAATCTTTGCACTCTCTGCTCCCTCTGCCCTCCCTTCCCTTCCAGTTGCCCGGCCACCCTGGGTGCCTGCAGATGTTCCTTCTCAGCAGATTTCCCTCACTACTGTGCAGCTGAGCAACCCTGTGTCCTGTCGCCCTTGCTAGTTCATTGTCTCCATAGCACGGACCATTATCTAGGATAACGCATTTTACTTATTTTGCTTATTTTTGGTCTCCTCCCCATGACCCTCATGAAAGGTAGTTTTGTCATTTCTGTTCCTTGCTGTGTCCCTAGCTTTCAGAACACTACCTGTCCCAGAGCAGATGATCAGTAAACATTTGTTGAATGAATTAATGACCTGATGCTATTAGGCAGAAAAGACTCCGTGTAGCCTGAAGTTGGAGGGAGGCCTTTCTCCCACAGCAGGGTTTGAGAATGTGCCATTCATGGATCCATTTGTTTTCTAGCATTAATTGTGCAACTAAATTGTGCTTGGCACAGTACAACAAGATGCAGTTCCTGCTCTCAGAGGACTCTGTCTACCGAGGAAGATGAACACATAAATAGCACTACTAGTAATAAGGATGATAGCTCACATTAATGAGGTGTACTACACATTGGGTGCTGTTGAGAGCACATTAATGCATATTAACTCTTTCAATTTCCACAGCAAAATGAGGTACGATTTTTGTGTCCATTTTGCAGGTCAGGAAATAGGTGCAGAGAAACCAGACGTCTAATGCCAATACAGTCTGAGGAGTGTTTGGGGGCTCGTGAAAGCAGTTCACATTTTAACTGGCGTTTTATTTTGAGTGGGAAGGCAGCAGCAACTCTGAGGGCCATGTTTGAAATAAAGACTGTGCTTCCTCCAGCCTCGCTGCCTGGCTCTTCTGGCTGCTGCACACTTCTTTCTTCCCTCTTTCCCTCGGTTGTTTTCCTCTGGCCATGGTCTTTCCTGAGCTCAGCAAACACTCGTGTGACCCGTGTGACACTCCGCTACTTCAAAACATCTTTAATTGTATATATTTATGGGGTGAGAGATATATATAAATTTGGGGGTAATTAGCATTTCCCTTTCCTCAAACATGTATCATTTCTTTGTGTTGGGAACATTCAAAATTCTTCTACTTATTTTAAAATGTGGTAAATAAGTTGCCCTACTGTGCTGTAAGCACTAGAATTTATTTCTCTATATAGCTGTATTTTGGTACCTGTCATTCATTCTACCTCTACCCCATTTCCTTCCTACCCTTCCTGCTCCTGGTGACCTCTCTTCTATGCTTTATTCTATGAGATTAACTTTTTTAGCTTCGGTGTATTAGTGAGATCATGCAGAACTTGTCTTTCTGTGCCCAGCTCATTTTCTTTAACATGATTTTCTCCAGTTCTATCCATGTTGCCACAGATGACAGAATTTCATTCTTTTCTATGGCTAAATAATATTTCATTGTGCAAATACCAGCTCTTCTTTATTCTTATGTTCATAGATGCCTTGGTTGATTCCATATCATGGCTATTGTACCTAGTGCTGCAATAAACATGGGAGTGGAGGTATCTCTTGGATGAACTGATTTCATTTCCTTTGGATATATGCCCAGTGGTGGGATTGCTAGCTCATATGATAGTTCTAGTTTTAGGAACTCAATACTATTTTCCATAATAGCTACACTAATTTGTATCCCCACAAATAGTGTATTAGGGTTCCCCTTTCTCTGCATCCTTGGCAGCATTTGTTAATATTTTGTCTTTCTGATGACAGCCATTCTAACTGCACTCCCTGCTCTTTTGATCCTGAGTCAGCAGGCCCATTCAGTGTTTTATAGGCAAGCAGGGTGGTTCAGCCCCAATTCCTGAATTCCCTGCTCCATGCTCTCAAAGCTGTGATCTCAGACAATGCTTTTGAGTCCTGCTGTCCCTCTGTGAGAGGGGAGAGACTGTGAACAGCCCCAAGATTCTGCAACTGCTCACTTTGTAGAAGCCCAAAAGGTCTGCATTCAATGAAAGGATCTTTTGTGAGTCTCCGCAAGGATAAAGTTTAATACATACACCCCACTCACCTTGTCGACTCTGCCCTCAGTCCCTTCTGGGTTTTGGGTGGCCACCCTTTGTGCTTCAAAACTCTAGGAGGTCACTTGTCTTCCTCACCTAATGACGTGTTACAGAAAACAAGCTTCCATTACTTGGGAAAGTGTAACGGGAACATGAATATTAATAACTCCCACGGGTTCCTGCAAACATCCATCACCACAGCTTAGAAGGCTTATTCTGACTTGCTTGGCATGGGGGTAACTGCTCAGCAGAACAATAATAAAGCATTCATGAACCCAGCTTAGGTGGAGCTCTGCCCAGGGCTTTGAACTTCATTGCTCCTGCTGGGCAGAGGTAGGAATGTGCTTTCCTCCTCCTGGGTTCCTGCAGGAAGATGTTTGACTTCAGTTGGAGACAGAGCCTGGCAGATGTGCCAGGACCCAGTGGAGCTGGAGTGGGGATTTTTCTTTATCAGAAAGAAAGTTCTCCCTGGTGACCACGACTTGGTGGTTAGGTACATTAAATGTAGCCACAAGATGCTTGAGGAATGCTGGAATGCTGAGCTAGGGAGCTGGTCCAGCTCAGAAATATAGAACTCTGGGTTCAGAAGCCACCTTTTGAGGTAAACAGTGGCAACAAAAACAGGAAGAATAGTCCCAACTGAGTGGGAGGGTCAGGAGTAGAGAATGGAGATAACAGTTAGCCTTAGAAAACCCTAGGGCAAGGGACCTTAGAATCATGTTGCCCTTGTCCTTTACTCAGAGCTTCTGCTGAAATCTGCTCACATTTCCTCAGTGAAAGTTCTTTTTTCCTGGAAATCTGCATTATATGACATTTTCTGTCCCCTGGATCTCAGGATCTCACAGGGTTGACCCAGGGTTTGGTAGAGGCTAGGAAGCTCGTAGGATTCTCACCTCAGTGGAGCTGTTCTAGTAAACAGTGTTCCAAGGTCAGAATGGCTTTCTTGGCAGGGCTGCAGAATGGGTAGAATACAAGAATGGAGCCCCTGGGACAGAAAAATATGACAGCTTTGTCTCTTGGCTTCTTCTGCTCCAGGAGCCCTGTGTGGTCTTTGGGAGTTTTGCTCCTGGTTTGATGCCTATTCAAAAACCCAGTAGTCTGAGTCCCCTAGCTGAAAAGCTACTGTTGAAATTTATGTTAATGTGAAATGTATGTGCTTTTTCTTTTTTCCTATTTATGATTTAAAAAATATCTATATGTCCTGTTCACATAAATAAAATAAAAAATCTTTTGGATATTTCCTAGAGAAAAATATGTTCTTAGGAATTTCAATGTGATCAAGGTAGCATTTCTGTTATTGTGCTTAAGGTCATTCATTAAAGCTATAGAGGGTAATGAAAATGCTCATTTTCTTGGGTAGCAGCACGCAAAAATCCCTCTGCTGTAAAATAACAGTGATGGAGAAATCCTTGCCATTTGTTCTAGCTGTCAGATTTTCTTGTACTGTAGTTGGAATTCTAACATCCTGCATCAGAACAGGCCATGCAGATGAAAGTCATTGAAACACGCATGGCTTTCTCCTTACAAGACTTTACTACAGGGCGCCATCCTCTCCACCCCCAGTAGAATTCTGATGGAGCCTGCTCCAGAAGATCTGTGGTCAGATCAGCACAGTGAATCCTGCCCCTGAAATCTGCTAGCTATGTGATTCTGTCCTTTAAAAATTTGTTTTCCCATCTGTAAAATGGAAATAAAAATAATAACTATGTAAAACTTGTCCTGGGGTGTCTTAGCTACCTTTCTCATTGCTGAGACCAAATACCCAACACCCAAAGTTAAAGGAAGAAAGGTTTATTTCAGTTCATAGTTTGTAGAGGTTTCACTCCATAATCAGCTGGCTCCAAGGCAGTGTGGCATGGTAGAGCAGCATCACAGTGGAGAAACAGCTCATGGCATGGCAGGGCAGGCAGAAGGCAACAAACAGCAAGCAGCAGCATCCAGCTTGCCTTCTCTTTTTCCTTTTATACTTAATCCAGGCTATGAGCCTGTTGATTGGTGCAGCCCACTCCCAGGGTGGGGCTTCCATTATCCACACCTTTAATCCACATTCACACACCCTAATCCAGACATCTGCAAAACTCCCCACCTATGAACACATGAGGCTTTGCGGGGGGGGGGGGGCATTTAGATACAAGGCATAACATTTCACCTCTGGTCCCCAAGAGACTCATGCATATACCTTTATTCAGAAGTCATTTAGTCCATCTCTATGAGTTGCCAAAGTCCTAACAGTTTCAGCATTGCTGAAAAATTCAAGTCCAAAGTCTTCTCTGAGATTTAAGGCAATCTCTTAGCTGTGAGCCCCCTATAACAATGAAAAGAAAGTTAGACATTTCCAACATGTAATGGTACAAGACAAACATTTCCATTCCAAATAGAGGGATAAAAGGAATGGGATCAAAGCAAGTCCAAAATCCAGTAGGGCAAACATTAAGTCCTGTAGTTCTGTGTCCAGCATCTGAGGCATTTTTTGGTAAGATGTAAACTCCAAAGGGCTTGGGTGGCTCTGCCCCTGTGGCACTGTTGGCAGTTGCAGTTCTCACGGCTTCTCTCTTGGGCTGGCTTTGCTCACTCCTTGCAGCTTCCCTAGATGATCCACATTTCTGGCTTCTGCAACATTCTGGGGTCTCCACTACACCTTCAACTTCATACTCACACACTCTCACACAGCTTCACACGCTGCTCTCTCAGGGCATACTCTCTGGCCCCAGGCCTTCTTTGGAAATCTGGGTGGAAGCCTTTCTGGACCCACAATTCTTGCACTCTGATGCATCTAAAACCACCACCATGTGGATGATGCCAAAGTCTGCTGTCAGCTAGAGCAATACTCAGGCTTCCTTCTCTCCTGGCTGGAGGGGTAGAGCTCCTGGATTACTGAGCATTGTCAAGGTAATCTTGAGGAACAAATTCCATAGACCCCTGCCATTCTGGAACATGGTGCTCTGGAGCTCTCTTCTCAAAGCAAAGTCTTTCACCTTTGCAAATCTGAGGCTGCAAAGGCTAGAGACCTGCTGGTTCTTGTGATGTCCTGAGGCCATCTTTTCTATTGTCCTGTTCCTTCTCAGCAACCAAGTTCTGCTCTGCTCTACCTTTGCAGTCTGCAGCTTTAGTGGAGCTTCTTTTCTGGCCAAACTCAAAACATTTTAAATTATTCTCCTGGGCTTCTTGCTCTTGATTTTCAACATAGTTCTGGCTAAAAACCCCCAACAGTAGCTATGCCACCGCCTCAACATTAGACCACCTTTAAATCTCTTCCACCAGACTAATTACTGCCCATAATCTGAGTCTCAGGTAAAGTCTCTGGAAAAGAACAAAATCCAGACAAATTTTCTGCCAAAGCATAACACACATGATTTGGAATCCAACAGCCAATGCTGTCCTTATTCCTAACTGAAACCTCCTGGACCTAGTCTTTACTGGCTACATTTCTATCAGCCTTCTGGTCTTCTGAGCTCTGACCACAATCTCCCATCAAGTTTAGCTTACAAAATTTCAGGGCTTCTTCAGCAGGCTTTTCTAAACCTTTCCAAACTCTTCCCACAAAGAAGTTCCAAATACTCCTAAACCACATGGCCAGGTAACGTCACAGCAATGACCCCACTTCTTTGGTACTAAAGCCTGCATCGGCAAATGCTTACTAGAGAAACAGATTTAATGCAAGATATACAAATATATAAGAATTTACAAGATTGGCTTACAGTGGCCACCTGTGTGGAAAACTGCAAAAGGTCTGTCTGTGCACTGGAGATCTGAAGGATTTAGTTGAAGGCCTGGAGCTCACCACAGTATCCTGTGCAAGTCTGTGATGGAAGACTGAAGTTCTACACTGAATGCTGAAGTGTTTGTGTTGGAGGCTGACGAATCTGCGCTGGAAGCCAGGAGATGACATTCAAGGTGAAGGTGAAGACTGGAGCTCCTCTGAAGAAATAGAAGCAAGCCCTCCTTCTTCATTTCCCTTTTATTACATCCAGGCGTCAAGCCTATTGGTTGCTGTCACTCACACCAGGGTGGATCTTCTGTCTTCAGTAAATCCCTTCAGCCACACACAGAACTATGGTGATCCAATTTAGTTGGGTGTTTCTTACTCAAGTTGACACAATTAGTTAACTATCATGATCCACCCCTTGTCAACTTGACAACCAGACACATTTCCTTAAACTATAGCCTCCATATAGAAAGACAAGTTCATAATTACACCTAACACGTTACAGCTATCCTGAGTACAAACAGAAATGCACCAATTCCCTCCCAGAATAGAGGGCAAATATTTTTTTGGGGGTGATTACTCCTACAATTTCATAACTTGAACATTATAACATAGGTTTAACAGTACTTAAGAATCAATATTAAGTCTATCAAAATATTACATAGGGAGATTATTAGGAGAGAACTAGTACAATTACAATCCTTATTTCTGTAACTGATCATGGGATTGTAGCTAGTATTTACAACTACCTTCTTCTACTACCTATTTTGTATTCCCTTGCCCTTCAGCAAGCACCTCAACAGGTGTCTTGATTACTTTTCTCTCTTTGCTGAGACAAAATATCTGACAGCCAAAGTGTTATGATTTGTATTTAGCTGTCCCCTAAAAGCCTCATGCTGATGAGGTGGGATTTTCTTTTTCAGAGGTAGTTGAATCTGGAATGTGTGATGCTGGGGTTAAAGTCGTGTGATTACTAAACCACTACATGTGAGTGATTGGTTTGCCACCACCCTAATCCCAGCAGTCTGAATAAGATAAAAGGGGCAGAAAGATGCTCGGAATTCTCTTGTTACCTTTTCTGCTTTGTGTGCATAATGTTGTTTCCATTCTGTGATGCCTGTTTGCCATCCCAGCCTTGGAGCCAGCTAATTATGGACTGAAACCTCTACAACTGTAAGCCAAATAAACCCCTTCCCCTCCAACTTCGGGTGTCGGGTATTTTGTTTCAGCGATGAGAGAAAAGTAACTAACACACAAAGTTAAAGGGGGAAAGGTTTATTTAACTCACAGTTTGTAGAGGTTTCAGCCCATAATAGGCTGGCTCCAAGGCAGAATGGCTTGGCATAGGGGCTTCACAGAGGAGAACAGTTCATGGCAGCCACAAGGTAGCAAAAGCAACAAGGGACCTTAACAACAAGGCACCTTTCTGCCCCCTTTATCTTATTCAGGCTACTTAGGGAGCACTCACACCCTTAATCCTAATGCCCTCAGATCTAGCCCCACCATAAATCAATCACACACTCTAGATTCAGCCGCCTCTGAAAAAGAAAGCCCCACCTGATCCACAGAGGCTTTGGGGTGGGGGGAGCATCTAAGCACAAGCCATAACAACAGGTCTTTGTTCTCTCCCTGGGAAGGTGACCCACACCTCATTCCTGAAGGTTCTGAACCATTTGTCATCCTTCCTGGATTGGGTTGTCGTAGTTTCCTATTGACTTTGATAAGAGGCCATAGTAACACTAGAAGTTGCCCTAAGAGATCTCCTACACTCCAAGTATATTCTTCCTTTCCTCTAATGAGGAGTAATAGTCCAGTATCCCCTTGATAGTCTGGGTCAGTCACCTCTGCCAACACTGTAAATCCCTTTTCAGATTGTTCACTCAGAGGCAAGTATTTTAAGGATGTGGATAATGCAAATCCCACTCTTGGTCTGTTTTAAATCTGACTTAGTTACCTTTCTTGTTGCTGAGCCAAAAATTCCCAACACCCAAAGTTAAAGGAAGGAAGGTTTATTTCAGCTCATAGTTTTTAGAGGTTTCACTCCATAGTCAGCTGGTTCCAAGGCAGGCACAGCAGAGGGGCATCACAGTGGAGAAACAGCTCATGGCATAGCAGGGCAGGTAGAAGGCAACAAACAGCAAGCAGCAGCACTCAGCTTGCCTTTCCTCTCTCCTTTTATATTCCATCCAGGCTATAAGCCTGTTGATTGGTGCACCCACACCCAGGGTGGGGGTTCCATTATCCATACCCTTAATCCCAGTATCACACCCTTAGTCCACATTTACACACCCTAAATCCAGGTAGCTCTGAAAAGCCTCACCTATGAGCACATG